GGAACATTTAGAAATTCCAAACCTACTAAAAACTTCTGCTCTTTAATATTCCAAAGCTGCCAGGATATAGGAAAAGGTTGATGATCATGCTAGGAACTTTAACTCATCATGGGTAGAAAGAGGCAAGTGTTACAGAAAACCCATTAGATTTGGGTGAGTCAAGGTGATCTTGGTAGTTTGGAGCACTGGACTGAAAACAACAGAATGAAATTCAATAGGGACAAATGCCAAGTTCTGCACCTAGGAAAAAGAAACCAAAGGCATTGTTACAAGATGGGGAATACTTGGCTCAAAAATACTGCAGGTGAGAATTGTTGTAGATCACAAACTAAATATGAGTCAACAGTGTGATGTGGCTGCAAAAAGGGCAAATGTTATTTTAGGCTGCATTAAAGAAGCATTACTTCCAAATCACATAACGTACTAGTTCCCCTATACTCAACACTGGTTAGACCTCATCTGGAGTGCTGTGTCCAGGTCTGGGCACCACAGTTTAAGAAAGATGTAGACAAGCTGGAACGGGTACAGAGGAGGGCAGCAAGGATGATCCAGGAACTAAAAACAAAGCCTTCGCCTCAAGAAGAGAAGAATGAGAGGAGATACGATAGCACTCTGCAAGTACTTGAAAGGCTGTCATGAAGAAGGAGGACAAGACAGCTTGATTGTCCCAGAGTTCAGGACATGGAATAACAGGCTCAAGATACAGGAAGCCAGATTCTGGCTAGATCTTGGGGAAAAATTCCTGACTGTTAAAGCTGTACTACAATGGAACCAATTACCTAGGGAGGTTATGGGCTTTTCCTACACTAGAGGAATTCAAGATGCAACTGGACAGCCATCTGAAAGGGATGGTTTAACTTGGAGCTCTGCACTGAGCAGATGGTTGGACCTGATGGCCCTCTGGCCTCTACCAATCCTACTATTCTTTTGTTCTATGATTCTATGTGTTATGTAGCATGCCTAAACTTCTGTCTAGGGAACATGAAAGGAGGCGGAGATGGGGGGTGTGGGGCAAGGCGTTGGCTTGCTCGCGAAGAGATCATTTTCTCTGATCGAATCTAAAACGATGTACTTGTGAGCAAGCTGCCGCCAGGCGAGGTGCCGAGTTGCTCAAAAGGACATTGTTTTCTCCAAGCATTTCCAAAACGAGCTCCTCGTGAGCAAGCCATGCACGCACCCAGCAAGTGCAAACCTGTGGGGCGGGCCAGTTAAAAGGGCATGGGGGGCCAGATCCAGCCCATGGGCCTTAGTCTGAGGACCCATGGTATAAAGCATGGGTCTCTGTGGTCTCTGTGCATTCACACATACAGGCTCCACACATGGGAAGATTCCATATTTAAGATTTATTCAGTGGGAACTCACCCAGGCACGATGGAGGGCTTCTCTCGCAATCCTCAGTTTTCCTTCAATCACCATCAAGGGTACATTGGAAAGTTCCTTTCCTGCTCTCTGTAGCTATCTCCTCTCTTCCAGACTCTGCTGGAAGGAAGAAAAACCTTTCTTTTTCTCTGAAACCCTCAACCTTTTCTTCATCCCTAAAATAAAATGTTAAACATTTTCAAAAACATATCCATCCTGCTTTCTATCTCTCGTATCCCAGTTTTGTCTTCTCATTCTCCTAAACCTGGTCATGGACACTATAATATCTCTTCCCTCTGGTCACGAGCCCAGATCCAAACTGTGTATCCCTTCATCTAGCATGGGACCACCATAGTGGTCCAGACAGCCCTGGTTCCCTCACTTTGCTCTTGGGACCAAGGAACCATCCTCCATCCAGAGATCCACCAACTCTGTCTCATGGCTTGGAGAATCTGGCCCCCACCTTTACCATGAACAGTTTATTTTACAACCTCCAGCCGATTCTGGAAGTGGCCCTAAAATAAGCCACAAAATGCTTCTACTGTGCAAAGTGAAAGGCCTTCACTGACTATTGTCCAAGTGTCCTTTCATCTAGCATGGGGCCACAATGTTGGTCTCATGTCCTTCTGAGAATTGAGAGGAAACCCCTTCTTTACTCCTGGGCCATGCCAGGAGAGCAGTTCCCAGTGAGCACTTCCCATCTTAGCTATGGAATCTTCCTGAACAGGAACACATGTGCAGAGTCCATATGTGGGAATGCACAGAGACCACTCAAAGAATGATAGTTGTAGGTAAGCAACCTCACCTTACCTGATTTGAAGACCAGAACAACTTAAGATTTGCAAATGGGGAGAAATGAGGAAGTGTAAGACTCTGAAAGCTTTCATGATGAGCAAGCAATGATTTGACCATTCTATGTGAACTAAGCTAATGTGATTATTGTTATCTCTTGTGGCATGATACTTTTTCACGTCTACATTAAATAGAAGTTGAAATAATATTGCTGGCATTTAAATGGCATCAAGTGATTTACAGTTAATTGCAAACACTTTCTGGGAAAAAGTACTGATACAGATAACTTCTTTATACTAAAAATACTATGTGGACATGATGAGGATTTGGAGCTTTTAACCAGGATTGTATATACTCTGCACAAAACAACATTAAATTGATTTTAAGATGCTCTATTATGCCACCTAAATGACAAACACATTTGTTCCAGCATAAGCTTTTGGGATGAAGTACACCATGGCTCCCACAAGTCTGATGTTATTATGTGCCATCATGTCATCTCTGACTTATGGCAACCCTTTAAATGAATGACATCCAGAATGTACTGTCCATGATAGCCTTGCCCAGCTCTTACAACTGCCAGGCTGTGGCTTCTTTTTGGAATTGATCCATTTCATAGTTGATCTTCCTCCTTTTTATCTGTCTTTTCCTACCATTACAGTCTTTTTAGTTTTGTCCACCCCATGATGTGCGCAAAGTACAACAGCTTCCTTTCCATAATGTTTGCTTCCAGAGGAAGTTCTGACTTGATTTGATCCAGGACACACCTATTTCAACTTTCGATTAGTCAAAGCTCTATACGAGCATCGTGTTCTGAGTCAGCTTTTTCACGATCCAGCATGCCCATTTTTTTCAGGACCATCCATAGCTTCTCATAACCTACATACAGTCAAAGGCTTTGCTATAGACTATAAAGCATAGACTGATCTGAAATTCTTTTGTGTGCTGCAGTAGCACTATACATTTATTATATGACCTTGTGATATGATCTTATGTGCCCCTTTCTCTTTGGAATTCAGCTTGAATGTCAGGCATTTCTTCATATACAGTAAAATACTTTGCGGTAAGAATCTTGTGCATCCCTTTGTCTACATGGGGAATACAATGGGCTTATGGTTGCTACACTATTTTGCACCTCTTTCCTTGTGGATCTGGATGTATATTAAACATTTCCATTCTGTGGACCATTGTTTGGTTTTTCATATTTGTTGGCATATTCTTGTTAGGATTTGGACCTATTCAGTCTCTGTAGCTTTGATTACTTCTATTGGCACCGTATCTATTCTGGGTGCTTTATTCCTTCCAAGTGCTTTCAGAGAAGCTTTCACATCACTTTCTAATATTGCAGGGTCTTCCTCATAGGATTCCTCTTTGAAGGAGCCTTTTACCTATTCCTTATAATCCTTTCATATGTTCTTTTCTGTTATGCTTATCTTTGTTTTAACCAGGTGATATAGTATGTTCTCCTGTTGGTCTTTTGGCATTCTTAAATTAGGTTGGAATTTCCCTTTGGTTTTTTGCACCTTCTGGAAGAGGTCTCCTTTTCCTCCTCTTTTGTTGTTCTATTTCTATTTCTTTGCACTGGCCATTATTTGTATTTCTTTTTCTCTCTATGTGATAGTCACTGAGAAGTTGCATTCTGATCTTGTATCTGTCACCTTTGCTTCTTATCTGTACCTAGTAATCATGAGGGTTTCTCCCATCATTCATCTAGGCTTTTCTTTTCTTTTTGCTGCAGGAATTACCTTTTGCGTTCTTCCCTAACAATGTCCCTGGTTTCAGTTCACAGTTCTTCTGGGTCATAGGCAGTTTCATATAGTAACGCCCTACAAGCTTATGCCTGAATTTTAAGGTGCCACAGGACTCTGCTGTTTGGAAATTGAAATGGAAATCTAAAATGGCAACAAGAAACTATGTGGAATATGTATGATAAAGCTTGCAGTTTGTAATGATTTCCTTAATTCATTCAGTTTTTGCTAATCATAGGGATGGCTAAGAAGGTTTTAGGGCAATGAAACTCAATTACAACTCCTGGAAAGAAATATTTAGTGACTCCTCTTATTTGTATTCTTGTTTAGATTTTATGGATACTTGTTATGTTTTATTGTTTATAATCTTTTGTAAACCCTTCTGAGAGTAATACACTGAGCGAATGGTAAAATATATACAATCTTAAATAAATAACCTGGAGGATTTCAGCAGCCACTGGCATTGGTATTTAAGTATGCATTTTCAGTTATAAAAGTTAGAACCATGATTTTTAAATTTTTGCTTTGTAAATCAAACCTGACATTTTTAGGAAGCTGAATTACATGCCAATACCACTTTCTTCTAAACCATTGTCACAAACATATAGTCCTGCTTCCAACCAAAGCCTTCTCTAACCTGATGCCTTCCAGATGTGTTGAACTATAACTCCTATTATTCCTGGCCAACATGGCCAAGATTACTACCATAAGTATAAACTGTTGTTATTAACTACGCTGCTACTTATTTGTGCATCTATTGACATGTAACATATTGTTCTTTAAGTCTTTTCAATCACACTAAGCTTTTGCCCTTGGAACAAGAATTATGCCTAGATGGTTCTGTTTTCTAGCAGTCTGCAAATTCGGTGTAGTTTAAATGTCTCCAGCAATAATCAAGATGATTGAGATTACTGACAGCTATAGTACTTATTTTTGTCCAGGCTCTTAGAACTTTTGTAGTTTTTGCAGTTATAACTTCTTTGTAATCTATTTATTAACAGATGCTGCTAGCTTTGTTTCCCCAGAAATAGAAGTAACTTCCTGTTTCTCTTTTGTCTTTTCCTATTTTTTCTTACTTGCTTTCATGGATATGCTCTCCAGGAGGATAAAGTGGTTAGAAAGTTTTCTTTTGTCTCAGATAATTTCTGTTGTAGTTTTGTCCTTGCTTTACTGAGGTGCAATTTGATTCAGAGTTTAGCATAGGTGAAAGCATAGTTTAGCATATAGGAACATAGGTGTTTACCGGTTTTTGAGATAAATATGTGTCTTCTCTCCTCACATTATATATCACCAGGCACTGCAGATATGCAGGGAAATTTCATTATACAGCTGCAATTAGTTGTGGTTTCCTCTGCATGTTCGTTAAAGAGGTGACTATCCCCTTAATACCCAATTACAGCCACAAAAAAGGTACATAACTACTGTGATTCTTGTAATAAAGTCTTCTCCAGCCTGGTGCCTTCCCAATGTTTTCAACAACAAATCCCAGCATTCTTGACTATTGGTCATGCTGGCTCGGGTTCATGGGAGTTGGTCCAAAACAACGGGAGAGCATCAGGTAGATTAAGGCTGGTGTAGTATCAGTCCTCCCTAAAGCCACTGTCTTAGATTTTATGTAACATATGTGTTCAGTTTACTGGATAAAAATGTAAAATTAATAATCAACTCAGATTGATTGGTTTTCTGTTGACTACTACAATATGGGATTGTAGGAGTGGACCCTTATACTCAGTGAGTATTGAAATAGATTTATAATTATTGCTTTTAGCCTACTTTATTTCATTGGCTAACTGGGCCTTCACTGAAGTGTTTGTTACTGTCTCAAAATACAACCTCAGTATCTTGGACTGTAGCCCTAAATACACTTATTGGTGAGCAACAGCCATAAAAACAATGGAATTTATTTCTGACATGTATATTATTACAATTCACATGATGATAAACTTACAAAAATGTATATAAGCTATTTCAGGAATCATATGTTGTTGACTTCATTGGCGTTTAATTTGCAAACATTCATGTATACAATTTTGTTATGCTGCACATATCATCCAGTCTTTATTATTAAGATAAGAAGAAGATTTGCATGCATGTCTGAAGTATCTTCAAATGCTGATTTTGTTTTACTTGCCTGCAGAAGAGAAAAATCTTGGATTACAGGCTAAAGCATGCTATTAAATGGCCTAGGATAAATATAATATTATCTGAAAGCAGCTGTAGCTTATTTGTGTAAGAGAAGAAACAAAGAAAAAGAAACAAAAGATGGATGTAACAAATTTTAGGCTGCAATTTTATAGCCATTTACCTAGGACTAAGTCCCACTGAACTCAGTGGGACTTAATTCTTAGTAAAAATGATGGCACTTTGTAGAATTAAAACTTTTAAGCTTCTGTTTATCTTGTGAAAGTAATATTTGAAATGGAAAGGATTTACACAAGGGGAAGCCTGTAGTAAGGCCTGTAGCCTGTGTTAAGTATTCATGAAATAATTATCTGTATATTAGAATAGTACATAGTATATACTGTCAAGTGCTGTATATTCAGGCTGGAAGCAGCTATCCAAGCCCTCAGGTTGAGGAAGATCTTATCTAACATAGGATGGAAAAAGGCCTATTCTTCTGCATGCTTGACTTCTGAAGTTGCCATTGGAACATCATAAAGAAAAAACAAAGGTCCTGAGATGGTGAGAGTTGATTGGATTGGTGGGTTCTGAACTGAGCTTGAATTCTGGACTTGGAAACACAATGTTGGATTATGTTGGATTAAAAATACGATGATTTGAATGAAACCAGCAGAGACTGGCTCACTGGAAGTTAATTGCAAAACTTGTATCACTTGGAAAACCAATTGTTGCAAACTAAATTTACTGAAAATTCAATATGCAAATTGATAAACTAATACATGTATCAAACACGTATTTGTTTACTTATAGACTCTACCCATCCACTCACTTGAGATAATTCTACAACCAAACAGTTATGCACCATAACTTAAATGGAACTTATACAATAATATTTGGCTTGGAGGGATGCATAGTCAATATATTTGTGCAAGCTTCCTCAACTTGATGCTTTACAGATCTTTGGGACTTCAGTGGCAGCCAGCAAATCCAATTGTTAGGAACATTAGAAGGACAACAAGTTCTGGAAAGCTGACTTAAGTTCTTGAAATTGGCACTCTGGTTCCTAAGGGGAACAAGAAATTTATAAAATTAAAACTTGCCCCTTCTGTTTACCAAATGTCTACATCAGGTCCTCTAAATTCTCAGTCCTTTTTATAGTAAAACTCAGAAGAGCAAGAATTTTTAGAAGACATTATGCTGTTTTAACATATTCCTTATTTTACCCAAGATGGGTCCAAAATTATTTTTTATAGATCTAAGACCTAGATAGCAATGTATTAGAAATTACTTGTGCCCTCAAGCCTAGCATAAGTATAGTTATTTCTGCTTCTGAAGTATGGATTAGCCTGTAAATTGCATTGTATCACTTGCTACTATACTTAATATAATTATTAGATAAACTGCAATCAGGCTTTCCTATTTTGATTGTTTCTTATGTTTGTGGAAAGTTAATGTATTAAATTCTTAAAAAATTAATATAATACCAATTCAGATCAGTTCTTCAAGGATTATTCTCTTCATCAACTTCTGAGGTTTTAAGAAAGAGCAGTAAAATTTTCTAAGCAATTGGTAATAGCTCTGACATGATTTCACTGCTGTTTCTACCTACCTCAGTTATATATTCAGTTATATATATTGCCCATGTGTCAGTTTTTAATGCCTCTGTAGTTGAATTAATTCATATTCACTATCATATTCTTTCTACTAAAATGCAGTCTTCTACAGGTCTTAGAATACATACCTTTCAGAACACTTGGGCTTACTATTAAATATGTGTGTGTGGGGGGGGGGGGGGGAATCACTCCAAGGATGCAACTGAGACTGAGAAAGAACAAAGGGCATACTGGGAGGCACAGAGGGCAAGAGGATGGGACCATTGCCTTATGTCAATTCCTATTGACATTCCATCCTCCTTCTGTCCTCCTTACTGGTGTTTAATTTAAATGTCAGAAAATGACTGTCCAATGAAAATGCACTGCATGTATTTGATACATGTATGCCTCTGAACTCAGAGGGTTATATGCATGTAAGGCAGAATACATTGGACTATGCCATTTGCCATTGGCAGTTCATTTTTGTTTAAGTCTTCTGAAATGAGATCAGTATGCAGGACTTCCCACTACCATTTCTCCGTGCAGAAGCATTCTTAAGATTTCTCCAAGCCTGCAAAATTTTGTCCAGTTTTAATTCTTATTTGCAATATTTGTATAACACTTTTCAGCAACAATAAATTTCCATAGTAAACAGATAGCTTAACAACATTTTTAACAAAATTGTCTATAATCTTAGACATAGGAAGATAATTACAAGTCTGGAGGCTCCACCATGTAGTTCTTTCATCGGAAAACTGAAAAGATGACAGTTAGAATTCCTGGTGGGAGGAACCTTGATAGAGCTGGTCTTTTCCCATGGTGATGTCAGTGTTAGTTGTGGCTGTCCTGGCTTTAGCAAAGAGCAGTTTTCCCTGGAAATACATGCATCCTGGTTCAGATCCAGGATCAGAGCAGTTAATATTGTCCAGGCCAGTAGAACAGGGCTTCTCTTGTTGCATAGTTCTTTCCTCAGACACTTGACTTAATTGCAATAATTAAACAACAATTTTGTTTTGAAAACTATAATTCCTTGCTCTGTGGCTTTGGTTAGAAAGCTCTCTGTCTCTAACAGAAGGGTTTCTCCATTTTGTCTTATCTCTCTCTCTCTCTCTTAAAGCCAAAGAGAGCAGGGTAGAGTGCATTTTCCCCCTGGAAGATAGCTCTTATACCTGGAAAATCCTGTTAGTCCCCCAGATGCCACTAAGTAGACAGGCAAAACTTGTACATATGGACATCAGGATCAGTCCATCCAGAATCAGAACTGGATGAGATCATCTCAGAGACAGAGGCACTCACTGTGGGTCCAGCACTTACTGCAACCAGGAAAAGTAAGTCTGAAATGTCAACTCAGGACACATCCCACTGTAGGAACCTGTAGTATAACCCCACCCCACCCCACCCCAAACTCTCCACCCTCCAGTATACAAAACGTAACATGGAGACTTTTTATTAGCAGTAAATGAGGTTTTATGGATGAGCTTTTTAGTTCCCATGGCAAAATCCTAAGTACAGGCATGGCATTTGGGGGTTGATTGCTAGCAGGCAGATTGAAGAAATTCACTTTTCTCTAAGAAAAATGTCAGATATAAGCTCACATTTATTCTGACATCCCACAGGCTGATTAGGCCTAAACCAACTCCCCTTCTTGCCATCACATCTATCACAGGGCAAAGCCAAACCCTTAATCACTGTGTTTTTCATACTGAACTGACCTCAATCCCCTTTCAACTTTTTCTGATCAGATTCTGGCTAAAAACTATAGAACACTCTACCACACTGGGACAGCCGCCCCCCTCCCCTAGCTTCTTTCATCTTGGTGCTGTTCCTTCCTTCAAAGCAGCATCTGAAGCACACTATAAAAGTTTCCCAGTTGTAGAACAAGAATATTTAATTGTGTGCAAGTGTTAAGTTATATTTGCCACCTGGTGAGGCATTCAGAAATGATATCAAATGCTGTTAAGTTTCAGACATAGGCTTTTATCAAAGTTACCTAAGCAAGTCCCTTGCTTTAGCCACAGGTGTGTAACAGCACACCTAGGCTTCTTTTAGTACAGTTGAACATTATGGAACAGCAGCGGCCAATGAATATTTAACAAGATAGATTTGGCTTCAGTTGCTGGAAACCAGTGCCAATATATATAAATAATGAAGACATTGCTAGTAAGAGTAAAGTAGAGAATATAGCTAGACATTCTTTAGTCCTTGGTTGTGTGGTCAGATGGATAGTTTCTATGAAGTGTAGCTGATGGAAAATGTTAGGATTTACATGGGAGTGTTTTTGCTTAGAAATGCATTAATCCCCCATTTAAAATACATAATCCTTTATTGAATGGTAATTTATGGCAAGCTTTTATTTTTATATACATTGGAGATGCTTCAGCAAGAGTATGCATTTAAGAG